TCAAAGAGAGCGCTTCCGCATGCGAAGTAGGATCGACCACACGAGTCCTCCTTGAACTGTCCCACGCAATTCGGCAAGCCGGCTGTCGTATTCCTTCGGATGCTCCACGCGTGGCAGCCAGCACCGAATGCGCATCTTGGGATTCACCTTCAAAGCTGTGGTGTAAACGTCAGACACTGAAACCCACAACAGCTCCTCGAATGGAATTGACCACACAAGAATTCCCAAGTCTGCCGTCTCCTTCATGTGCTTCACCAGCTGGTTCATCTCCTTGACGTCGTCGTGGGTCAGCGTGAGCAAGTAGTGCTGGAGCAAACTGCACCTCACAGCAACGTCCGCCCTCAGCTCCCGCATCAACCAGTTCAGCAAAACAAGAACTGCACGAGCTTGACTGTGCTCTCCCGCCGTACACGCATCACCTCCAGCCCTTCCCCGAGCTACCTTGACGGGCTAGAGTCTCTCCTCGATGAATTTAGTCATGGAAGCGTGGAAATTGAATTCGGCGTCTTGGGTGTATTGGCGCCCGTTGAACATGGTCCCCATCGGAGCTTTGTCACAAAGACTTCACCGTACCGCACTTCCCTTGGAAGGAGCCATCCACATCCACCACCGCGATGCCCTCCACTTCTGGACGCGCATGACCTCCAGGTCCTGCAGCTCCACGTCTTCTTCAAAAATCCGCCAGTCTCGCCACGGGCGGAGCGGGCGCCTCGGCAAGGAAAAGCCCCAGGATGCACAAGAGCATCCAACAAGCACAGAGGAGGGAGGGAGAGCAGGGAGAGGGGCAAACAGGGAAGGAAAGAAGGGAGGAGGGGCTCGAGCGACACCACCTCGAGCCGGGAGGCTGCGTGCTTGCCAGCCAGCGCATCTGCACACTCAGCTCGCTTTCCATCTCGGCAGCCATCCGCTACAGTCGGACCTAGGCCAGGAGAACATCCTTCAAGAACACGAGACCCTCCGCTGGCCCCAACCGAAAAAACACCCGAGGTGCCATTCCCCAGGATTAGGGGAACGAGCAACGACATAAACATACAAACTCTGAGGTCCGCGCGAATTTCTCGGATCGGCGCTCGACACCCCTCTCTGGCGCGCGGAGCGCGCTAGGGGCAGCGCCAGAGGCGCCGCCGGGGGGCCCCAGCGCCGATCCAAGAAATCCGCGCGGACCTCAGAGTTTTTATGTTTATGTCATTGCTCGTTCCCCTAAGAATGCACAAGAGCATCCAACAAGCACGAAGAACACGAGGCTACCCCCGCCCCCCCCAACCGACCTCGATATCATACCTCGGAAAGGGGAGGAGGAGGAGGAGGAGGAGGAGGAGGAGGAGGAGGAGGAGTGCAAACCCAAGAGTCATGAACGATGTTGGAATTACCCTCCCTCTAAGCTCCCTCCTCATAGGCCCCTACAACGTTTCATTTCCATTGAGGGAACTGCCTCTTGGAAGATCATCGTTTGAAGGTCCTGAAGCATGCCAAAACATTGCTCTCGGGATTTCATCGCCACGTATCAACCTGACTGCTGCGTCTTGACGATCCGGAATCCTGACAGAACGCTAGTTCTGGGACTTCAACGCCGCGAATCAACATAATTGATGTGCATCATCTTTTTTTCCAGTATCTGCTTGAGGAACGGAGCCTGGCACAGGGCAGCTTTGGCAGGCGACAACGGCCTGCGGCAATAAAGACGTCTGGAGGCGACGGGCTGGCTTTGGGAACCAGAAAGACTATAGAGCAGGTATGAAACGGAACTGTGCGATGCAAACTCGTTCAACAACGTACATGCATCATCTTTTTTCCAGTATCTGCTTGAGGAACGGAGCCTGGCACAGGGCAGCTTTGGCAGGCGACAACGGCCCATCTACAACAAGGCACAGTACCCATCAACAGGCATTGCACTGGCCTAGCCGCGAAGCAACATCCATTTTCTAGAGACCACCTTGGCGACAATTGTTTGCGAGAACATTCGAGCAAGCTGCTTACAGAGAGCGTCGGGATAGGCGGACTTTAGCTGAGTGCGAAAGTGGGTGGCACCGCTCTCCTTCCCAGACAGCTCGAGATGGGACTGTCCTGAAAATCACACACGCCGCGGCCATGACACTTCATAGCCAGAAGAGAAATGGAGGGGCGACAATGCAGAAATTGGAGCCTAGTGCGCGCACGAAAGGGACGACCAGCAGCACATTGATCAACTACTGCTTCAGAGAAAAAAGGAGAGTGATGGCGACGTGATCTGTCAGGAAAATGCCAAATCCAACTGCTACCAGGGTTCTCTTCACCGATAGGGATGCCAAACTTTGCTGCTAGCTGCCAGATCTGCCCCGCGCGGGAGGCAAGCAGGCTGCCAAGCTCAAGCTTGGCCTGATCGGCTGCAGCTAAGCCCGGCAAGCCAAAGATGTGTGCGCTGTCACGAAGGCGTCGAGGCATGCGGGATGCAGGGCCGCCTCGTCGCGCTCGCGAAAGCGACTCGCAAGGCGTGCCCATAAAAATGGCCTTGACTCTGCCGCTGGCGATCCAGCCGCGAAGCACGGCCCAAGGCGCAGGCTGGGCAAGATCAAACTCTTGCCCGTGCAGGACATCCCACTCAATAACAGCATGCCCAGCCTGTCGCAAGTGCCGCGCAAGGTTGCCGGAGCCACTGAAAAGGTCAATGAAAATGCGGGAATCATGTCCCTTGCCACTCATCACAGCTGAAGAGAGTACTGCTTGCAGGCGGCGTCGAATCCAGCGGCCAAATGTTCGCTCTCCAGCCGCTGGTGGGCTAGAATCGTTATCTTTTCGATCGCCACTCACGCGTGCTTGTCGTAGCGCTGCACGCTGTTGAAGGCGTGCCAGTTTCCGAGCTGCAGCTTCTCCATTAGCGTGCGGCTGCCCGTCAGGCGGTCGAGGTTGGCGCCGCCGTGCCTGAGGCTGCAAAGCGTGCCTGCTAAACAGCTGGCTCGCACAGCCTCGAGCATTCGGCCAAACCGCCGCAGGAAGAGGCTGTAGACGAAGTCCCACAGCGGGTGCAAGAAGCCCAGGCGGGGGTCGCGGAGGCGCCCCAAGGCCCAAGCCAGGGCCTGCTGCCGCGGGGAGACACGCACAACGGCGTGGTCCATCTCGCCTGTCTTGCCTGGCTGCTGCAACACTGTAACCGGCACCACTAATGACATGTGCAGGCGCTTCCAACCCGGCAGCGAGTGGGCGAGCTGCGGGAAGCGCCTCTGCAAGGGCGCCAAGTGCAGCTGAGGGAGACCTCCAAGCACCGCGACGCCAAGCTTTGCAGTTGTCGCCCGCGCCACTTCCAGGTCGAAGGCCCACCGCAGGTCCCAAGCCGCCACGGGCCAGTCGGGCAGCACGTCCACCATGAGCCACCCTGCCAGCAGCAGTAACACCTTCAGGTAGAGCACCTGAGTGGACGGCTGCACCACGTTGGCTGCCAGCAAGCCCTGGCGGGGCAGCCAGCGGGCCTGTTCCGGGGCGGAAAGCGGCGGTGGCTGCGCTCTGCTCCTTGCGGATCCGCCACCACCAGCGGCTCGCTTCCGGGTCGGCGAAGCGCTTCCCACCTCTGGCAGGCTCGGCTGGCCGCCCGGCGGAGCAGCCTGGAGCGCGCGGACCTCCTGCATGGCCACTGCCGCTGTGACGCCTGAACTGGTCCTTGTGCTTGGGCCAAGACGGCTCCGTCCCAGACTGGAAACGTCTCGAAGGGCCATCTGCAGGGTTGAGCTCTGAGGGGATCCATCTGAAAGTGACCTTGAGGTTGCAGGCGACCGATATGGCAAAGGAGCAGCGGCAGCCAGACAACAGACCAAAGTCGGACGCACGACCCTTTTCATGGGCGCAGATCATCGACATGTTGTCACCCAAGCCCAGCAAACGATGCCCGTGACATCTCGAATTGCGAGAGGCGCGCCGCAGCCAGAGAAGCCCTGCTGAGCTTTCTAGCCTGTGGATGGTACTTTGGCGCCTCCACTTGCATGCAACGGCCGTGACCCAGGTCGCTTCACGCAGCAGCTCAGAGCTCACCTCGGCGAAGCCTGCCGCACGCCCAAGTAAGAGTGCGGCTGGGTCCGAGAGCTCGATGCTGTCGGCAGCCAGGGCAGCGCCCCGCGGGGCCACCAGTGAGGCGAGGGGCCCGCGAAAGCGCAGCTTCTCCGGCTGCCTGCCAGCGGCCTGCACTGCGCTCAAGGGCCAGTGCGCAGTGCAGACTCCCGCGCCCCACGGCGACGCGTCGAAGGCACCCACCTCAGCGTGCCAGGGCCTCTTCATATCGGCGAACACCGTGGGCAACAGTGCGAGCACCCACCTGAGCTCGCGTCGGCAGCTGGGCCACAGCGGCTGCGCCCTGTCGTAGGTGGAGCGGATGAAGACGTAGACTGCACTGAGGAGGCTGAGCGCCTCACGGCGCAGCAGCAGCAGCAGCGCAACCACGTGCCCCGCGAGCCTCTCCAGCTGGCGCCCCGTGATACGTCTTCCCGGCTCCAGCAGGTGCGAGATACAACCATGCACTCTCCAAAACTTCTTGGGTGCGGGGCGCCACCTGGCGGCCTTCGAGTCCAGCGTGAAGCCGAGGAGGACGACATCCAGGTCAAGCGATGCCTTGACGCCCTCACTGGTGAACGAGTCGAGCATGTCGTTGACCACCTGCAATGCTGTCTCGCGGCTGGTGCTGATGGCAGCAAAGTTGTCTATGTACAAGACCTTGGCTGCGGCTGAGCTGTCAGAGAGGCACGCCCCAGGCTGCTTGTCCACCAGCCACTGGTTGCTCGGAGAGACCGAAGCCAGCACATTCAGGTGGGCAGACTGCACAAAGTGGACGGCCCAGTTCCATCCCATGGGGACGACCCGCACGCGGAAGGCTATCCTGGGCCGAGCAGACAGCTCTGGCCCCAACGCCTCACGCAGGCGGGCCGGCAGCATGCGGGTCGCCAGGCTCGGTAAGCAGAAGTAGTTCCTGGCCCAGGCCGGCAGCACGTACTGGTAGAAGCAGACCTCCACATCGCCCGCAGCCAGGTGCACCTCCTCACCGGGCGTGCACTCCAAGCTGCTGAGGGCGTCGCCGGAGGCCAAGTGCGTGTACTCGGGCGTCCTGAAGTGGCAGTTCGCCCTCCTAGTGTCGAAGATGAGCCTCAGCTTGTCATCTTTGCGTGGCACGAAAAAGACGCCCGTCTCCTCCTTCCGTTCCAGCTCGTAGTCCAAAACTTCGACGATTCCTGCATCGTAGAGCTCGAGCAGGAACCGCCCGTAGTCAATGCCCCGCTGCGCCAGCTTACCGTCCACGTAACACGTGACGTCCGCCTCCTCCAGAGCAGCAGTAGCCTCCTGCTCTGAGCGCAATAACCCGTGCCCGGACTCCAGCGCAGACTGCAGGTGCGCGGGCAACAGCCGAACGAGATCGACACGCCCAGCACCGCCAGAAGGAAGAGAGACCCTCCCGCGCTGGTAGCCGGCTCTCGCCCCGATCGCTGGCTCGTCAGCATAGCCAGGTCGAAGCCCCAGAAGCGCCTGAAACGCCTCCTGGTTGGTGCAATCCTCAGTCCTCGGCGGGGCCGCGGCGTAGACCCCCTTCAGATGCTGCAGCGCGGAGCGCTGCGCCAAGCTGAGGCGGCCGCTGCCGCCCGCCGACCGCCCACCACCACCCAGCTCGTTGAGCGCCGCGACGCCTTCCAGCATCCAGCGCTCCTGGCGCCTGCAGCGAGCGGCTCTGCGCCGCTGCCCCAGCGAGAGCTCGCCGTCAAGGGCAGAGAACCCCTTCAAGCACTGGAGCGCCTCCGAGTTGAGCGGGATAGGCAGCGCGTCTCTCTGCGTGAGACCGTCATCGCCAAAACCCAGCGAGGTGGCATCGCCGTTCAGCTCGCCTCGCCCCCCCTGCAAACTCGCGCCGAGGTCGGGGGAACCCTCAGCGCGAGGGGGCGCCTCAGGCGCCACGGCCGCACCCGCGGCCGTATGCCTTGGCCTTGGCACCCGCCGCTGGTTCGCCAGAGGCCGCACCGCGCTCGGCGCCGCGCTCCAGCAGCCTTTCCTCTCGCCCCTTCTTGCGCTCCTTGAGGATGGCGCATCCCTCTCGGAGCATCTTCGCCACCCAGCTCTCCCCGGCGGCGCAGACAAGCGCCGAGACGCGGCTCCTGCCCTGCTCGAGGAAATTGGGTCGCCCATCGAGCCAGGTTGCAGCGTCCTGACCAGCCTCGCCCTCGCGCAAGCTCGACGCATACAGCTCCTCCCAGAGCTGGTCGCGGCGGCAGCGGGTCTCCACCACCACCAGCTCGCCAGCGTCGAGCCGGTCCTCGGTGGTGAGCTCCTGCAGCACCTCCAACGTGAAGTGGTGGTCGTCCATGCCCGAGTTCGAGGCTGTGAGCCCCTGGATTGACCTCGACCAGCAGTGCCTCTGCCGCGGCATGAAATCCGCCTCCAAGATCTTCTCGAGCAGCACGGCCGCGGTCCTCGGCCCCTGGCAGCGCCCGTTCGCGACGGGCGTGTTGGCCATCTTGGCCAGAGCGTCATGGAGCAACCTGGTGCGGCCGCCCGATGGCAAGTAGAGCACTGGCAGCGCGGGGAGACCCCCACCGCTGCCGGACAGCGCGGCCGCCCCTGCCTCCAGGATGTTGGCCACGGCGACCGCGAGCGAGATGCCCAAACCCAGCAGCATGAACCCGCGACCGCCAAGCACGACCTGCGGCTGGCCACCAGCTCCAAGGGGCTCAGGCGAGATACGAGTCCCAGCCGCGGAGCCCACACGCGCCCCTGCTGCACGCCAGACCGCGTCCGCCGGTGGCGCCGCGAGCCGCGGCGGTGCTGGGGCAAGGAGAGGGCCTGCCGCCGGAGGCCCAGGCGACGCGGCCGGCGCGGCCGCCAGGGCGCCCGCCGCAGCCGCGGCTCCAGCCGCTGGCCCAGCGGGCCACGCGGCGGCCGGCAGCGCCGCAGGGGACGGCGCCTCCGCAAGTGCCTCCGCCTCGCCGTCGGCGCACGCCCCTGGGTGCGCTGCTGGTGCAGGCGAGCCATCCTCCTCGCGAATGTCCGCTGCCATCGGCGCCGCCTCGTTGCATAGCAACGGCAGCCCGGCGCTGAGCCGAGCGCTGCCCGCCCGCGGGATCTGCCCCTGCGGCCCCCGAATAGGAAGGCCACCCCGAGCTCCCAGCGGCAGCCGAAGGAGCGATTGGGACATGTTCTTGGTGAGCACCCCGAAGCGGAAGTCCTGAACACGCGCCAGCATGATCTTTTCATGCCAGAAGTCATCGCGCAGCTCGTAGTAACCGAGGGCCCTCGACCCCGCTTGACGGCTCTGCAGGCAGTGCCGCGTGCGCTCTGCTAAGCTGCGGGCCGCCATCCAATCCTGACCTCAACGGGCGTGAGGTCCTCTTCCACACGGCGCCTGCTGTCGCTGCTGAGAGAACACCCGCGAGCAGCCCTACGACGAAGATGCCCCACGCGAACGGCGGCTCGGGGCACTGCAGCGGCGGACAGCTTGGGCACACGGGACAGGTGAGCTGCTCTGGACCGCAGCGCTCCAGCTGTCGACCAAGGAGGCCCACGATATCGCTGCTGACCTGGCAATCGGCTATGCAATGGCAGTCGGGGCAGCGGGCGACAGAAAGAAGAGGGGCCCAAGGGGCGATAGCCTGCAATCCTCGCAGGGCCAAGTCCATTGAGCCAGAAAGACTATAGAGCAGGTATGAAACGGAACTGTGCGATGCAAACTCGTTCAACAACGTACACACCCACATCATCATTAACCCTGCCACATAACCATTTCTGGTACGCTGATCATGAGAATCCGTGCAGTTTTTGCAAATTGAAAAAATCTGCGCGGCGCTGGGGCGAGAGCCACATCTTGAAAAGGAGCCGCTCTCAATCCGTGAAACGCTTGCAAAATTTGAAAATGAACGTGCGCGGCGCTACGCGCTACGGCTAGGGAACTACAATTTGAAAACGACCCGCTCTCAATCCGTGAAACTCTTGCAAATGTTTCCAAGGCATATGCGCGGCGCTGGGGCGAGAACCACATTCTGAAAACGACCCGCCCTCAATCCGTGCAATTTCTGCAAAAATTGAAAAAATGCGCGGCACTAAGGCGAGAACCACATTTTGAAAGGGAACCGCCCTCAATCCGTGAAACCCTTGGATAGTTTGAAAAAGAGTGTGCGCGGCGCTAGGGCGACAGCCACATGTTGAAAACGGCCCGCCCTCAATCCGCGAAGCTCTTGCACTTTGTTAAAAGGAGTGCGCGCGGCGCTAAGGATAGAGTCACAGTTTGAAAACGGCCCGCCCTCTATCTGCGAAGCTGTTGTCATTCACTACGCTTCAGAATCAGAACTGGTGGCGAAGTCTCGGGCGAAACGCCCGGCCCGCCATAAACACGGGCCTCGGGGTGCGACAAGGAGAAGTTATCTATAATCGGGGATGGACAGACCCCCCTGTAGCAAAACGTGGTTTAGTGAAAACGACCTGAGGCCCGAACCTGGCGGGCGCAAGCCTGGAAAATAACGGCCGCGGCGCCCTCTCGAAAACCGAAAACGGACAATTCACTAATCGACGCGTCACTGTTGGGGGTTCTGACCACCCCCGATATAAGGAGAAGGAATGGAGGAGGAAGAGGGGTATGGGGGGATCGAGAGATCGAGGGCGGATGACGCGTGCCCCGCGGAACACGACCGCGCGGCCCCGCCAGCGCGGGCGCCGCGCGGCGGGCCGCCGAGCCTGCGGGAGCCCGCGGGCGGCCGCAGCGCGGGCCTCCGAGGCGCCGCCGCTGCTGGTCGCGGCGCCAGCTGGCGCGGCGGCTGGGGCGCCCCGCGAAGGCCTCGAAGGCCTGCGAGCGCTCGCGGCCCAGACGACGAAGTCGGCGAAGCTGTGCTTCCCTCCATCTCTGGCTGCCCGAGACGGCGGCGAGTCGCTCGGGGCGCCTGCGCACCTTCACCGCCCATCTCGTTGGCGCCGCGTCGCCTGCATCTCGCTAGCTCAAGCGCTCCTCCAGACTTCTTCGTGGGCCTGTCGTGGATGCGGATCCGCACTAGGTGGCGGTCGTCCTGTCCTCCAGGTGCGGGGCTGAGCTACGGTGGCGCCGAGCTCCCCCGTGCATGGGTGACCGCCGCCACGGGGGCCACGGACCTTGGCCTGCTCCCACTACGGTCCCGCTCTGGCGTGCCTCCCGCAACCCCTCTTGCACGCGTGGCGGCGGCCCCGTTCGGCCGCTCGGCATCGACGCCCGGCCGTCGCCGCGGGAGCCGCGGACCCTGTCCCGCTCCCACTGCGGGCCCGCGCTGGCGTGCCTCCCGCAGCCCCTCCTGCATATGTGGCTATGGCGGCTGGGCCCTCCTCGCAGGCGCCCGACTCCTCGGCCCACGCCTGCATCGCCCTCGAGGCGGCCTCGATGGGGGCCGTGGGCATTGGCAGGCTCCTCTGGCAGGCTCGCTCTGGTGTGCCTCGCGTCTCGTCTCATGCCGCGCGGGAGGTCGGTCTCGGCCATCTGCTGCACGTCCTTTCGCATGCTGCAGCCCCTCGACCTGTCCTGGAGCCACTTCGCCCCCCCAGGGACTCCTGCTGCGAGAACCCCTGGCACACAAGTAAGAGCCCACTCCGGGGGGGCGAGAGAGCACCTACTGCGCTCAGTGTGCATGGCTCTCTGAGGCGTCTCGTGGCCACCCAGGCGCTCATGGCTGCAGCACTGCCTCCTTGGCTATTTCGACGATCGCACTGCTCGGTTCCTCGCCTCGCTTGTGGTGCTGTCTGGCACGAGAGGATCAGGCGGGCTGGTACTCTCTGGCGGGGCAGTCGCCACCCGCTGAGCAACGCATGCCTCATGCCCTGTTACGTCTGGTACGGGCGGTTCAGGAAGACTGGTACTCTCTGGCGGGAGCATGCTTGGACGCTGACCAATGCATACCTCCAGGCCTTCGCTCCATGGCCCATCTTCACCTGGATCCCTGTGCCCGTCGAAATCGTCGTCGCTCCAGTCCGCGAAGGGGTCGCCCCCGTCAAGGTCGAGCCCATACCTTCTGCCGAAGCAACCCCTGTCACAAACCTTGGGCCAAAGCCCTCTCTGGATCCGACGAAGATCCTCGGCCCCTGTCAGAGTCAGAAAAGGTGGATGGCCGTCGGCAATCGGGCACCGCCGCCGTAACCCACGTCCTAGGATACTCCCGAAAGGCTGAAGAAACCACAGCCTGCACAAAACCATACCCTCAGCGACGTCTCGACTTCCATGCTGTGAGTCTCATGATCAGCGGCGCCTCCGATCTGAATGGGCGGTGCTGCTGGGTCTTGCGCAAGCAAGTGCTGGTTTCTCCTCACCAAAGGCCAGCATGGTTACTGCAGCCACGCTGTGCATGGTTCGCCAGACGCTCGCCAGCAGCATTCCTGACAGGTCCTGCCGTCGCTCCCGAACACGTGAGCCGAGGTGAGCATGGCGGCCGCGCTGGCAGCTGGAGGAGCCCGTCGCGTACATCTCGTGGTCCGCATGCGGGGCTCCGCTTCCATGGCGTCCAGGGTGGAACGCAGGAGCCTCCACCAAACTGCGACTGCCATGGCCTCGACCTTCGCCACGCGTCCTCTCTCCTCAAGAGCTAGCCTTGCCTGCTGAGCTGGATACCCAGCGACCTCATCCGCTGCTGCATTGCCTCAGGTAAACTGAGATCACACCTCGCTGGATAACGTCCTCCACCTCCAAGTGCGAGTTGATGTGAACCACTGTGATACTGTCACGCCCACGGCCAAGAACCAATCGACCCAGGCGCCACCACAGGTCTATGTCGGGCCCTTGGGGCGGAGGAGGAGGAGGAGGAGGAGGAGGAGGAAAAGGACGGGGAGGAGGAGGAGGAGGAGGAGGAGGAGAAGACGAAGAACACGAGGGTACCCTCCCCGAACCGACCTCGAGCTCAAAACCTCGGTCCGACTGCTGGCAAGCACGGTGAAAGAGGAGGGGGAGGAGAGAGAGCAGGCTAGGCACAGTGCGGGGGGGAAGGGGCACGCACCAGGGAGGAGGCGCTGCCACCCCCTCCAGGAAAAAGCACAAAAGCACACACGCACACACAAAAAAAAATCAACAACCCAAAAGAAAAACGCCACGCCCTCGAAGGAGAGGGACTCCCCCCAGCACGCTCCCGAGAGCCCCCCCTCCCCCCCCCCAAAAAAAAGAAGAACAGCCTTGGGCGTCCCCCCCCAAAAAAGAAAAGCCTCCTCGGGCTGCGAGCCTGGAGCCTTCGAGTCGGGGCATCGCGACTGCAGCACTGACGCACCCCACCCATGATGCTCCTCCCGCAGCAGTGATCGGCAGCTGCGAAGACTGCTCCGAGGCAGATCCGACGGACAAAAAGGCAACTACCCAGGGGCAGCTCCATCACGTCGCTCTCCAACTCGAGGTCTCGATCCCGAGGAGGAAGTGGTGCCCCCCCCTCCTCCCCCAGGTGGTGCCCCCCCCACCCCGTGGCGATCCTACCCCTCTCTGGGCGCTGCCCCGGGGGGACGGGAGCACGGCAGGCAGGAGCTGCGAGCACGAGCGGCCGCGGAGGCGGGAGCCGCGTGCGACGGGAGGGGGGCCGAGGGGGGGGGGCGCGCAGAAGCAGACACGGCTCCCAGGAGAATTCCTCCCAAGAGGCTCCCGAGAGCCTTCCCAAGAGACCCCAAGAAGCGTCCCCGAGGGCTCGGGCCCGCGTCAGCGTCGTCCGTCGTCGTCGTCCCCCCTTCACGGTCGGCGGCACCGGCCGCAGTGCCTTCGCAATAGACAGCTCCCAGGACTGCCCATGTTGGGGGACACCAAAAGGCACCGATGCCGCTGCTCCCCAGACCTGCCCCAGGGTGCGTCCCGACCAGGATGTCGAGGCGAGTCCCGCTGTGGCGACGAGGGCCTCCGAAGAGACCTGAAGAGAGGAAAACGGGCAAAGGGCCGCGGTATCCGCGCCCTTTCCTCCTCCGCACATGTTGCTCCGCATGTTCTGGAGGCCCGTCTGCCCCTGCTCTGCCCTGATGTTCCACACCTTCCTGGGAATCGACAGTTCGTTGGTGAGCGTCTTTTGTTCGGCATTTCGACATAGGGCGGAACGGGCAGGGAGGGAGGGGGGGGTCTGGCTCTTGACCTCTGCTCAGTGCGACTGTTTGGAACCGTGCGTCCCGTGGGGGAGCTCCACCTGCTCGAAACTGGCGCCAAAAACAGCCAAGATCTACTCCACAGGGGGGAGAGGGCGGGGCGCGCAGGCCCGCGCCGATCGGCAAAGCAATGGAAAAAAAGACGCCCACCCGTGCCCGTGTGCTTCAAAGGGAGCGACCCTCCCTGGCTGCCAAGCTGCCCCCCCCCGGAGTCTGGTCGGGCGCGTCCCCCGACAAGCCGATCTTGGACGCAAGAGCAAAAGCAGTCACAACCAAAAATACTCGAGACAGTCAGAGCACTAATCGACAAGTCGTCCCCATACTAGTTGTTTACTGTTTTGAATATTCCTTTTGTAGAGGGACGTGCCCGACTTGACCCCACAGGGCCCCCCCCCCCCAACAAAATCAAAATAGTCAAAAACTAATCGACAAACCGTCCCCAAAGTATGTTTTAACTATGCTTGGAGATTCCTCCTGCCGAGGGACGCGCCCGACGTAACCCCAGAGGCCTCAAAAAAGGGGAGAACGGGTGAAGGGCAGCAGTAGGAGTACCTTGTCGTCCTCCGAGTGGATCCTGCATCGGCTGCTCTCGCTTCCCCCCTGGAGGCCAGGAGGGCTGCCGAGGCCCCCTCTGCCTTCTCGAGCCCTGGGCTCCCAACAAGGTGCCCGCCCAGAGGCCCCCGAGAGCGCTCCGCCGAAACCCCACTGGAAGCATCCCTGAGGACTCTGGCACACGTCAGCAGCGTCGTCGTCGCCGCCACTGCCGTCGCAGTCGTCCCCGGGTCGGCGGCACCGGCCGCAAGGCCTTCGAAGTAAGAAACACTGCATGAGCGACAGCGCCCCTTTTGGGGGGCACCAAAGGAGCCGAGGTACAGACGAGGAGGACTGGAAGAACAACCTCGGAATGGGCAAAGAAACAGCGAGCCCGCTCCAAACCCAAGCTCGTCCTTGTGTTGGCGCCCTGGCTGCAGGGGGAGAACATCATGACATCAACATAGACCGTCGGAACTCCGCGCCGATTTCCTGGATCTGCGTCAAGCCCCCCTCCCTCCCTGGCGCGCAGAGCGCGCCAGGGGCGGCGCCGCAGGCGCCGCAACAGGGGCCCCGCGTCGATCTAGGAGATCCGCGCTGAGCTCCGAACATCTACAGTAGGAGCTCGACCACAAGAAACCTTCCACAGGAAACCCAACCCTGAGACCCCAGGAAGTCCACTGATCCTTGGTGTGGGAGCGCCACGTCCTCCATCGCAAACCGAACCCTCAAAGCCCAAGAAACCCAGAGCACCCTGGAGGCAAGAAGGGTGCGGTCTCCTACTCCTCCTCCTCCTCCTCCTCCTCCTCCTCCTCCTCCTCCTCCTCCTCCTCCTCCTCCTCCTCCCTCCTCCTGCTCTGCTCTGCTCCTGCTCCTCCCCCTCCTCCTCCTTCTCCTCCTCTCCTCCTCCTCCTTCATCATCATCATCATCATCATCCATCATCATCATCATCATCACCACCACACCCACCACCACCATCATCATCATCATCAGCATCATCATCATCATCATCATCACCACCACCACCACCACCATCATCATCATCATCATCATCATCATCATCATCATCATCAGCATCATCACCATCATCATCATCATCATCATCATCATCATCATCATCATCATCAGCATCATCATCATCATCATCATCATCAGCATCATCAGCATCAGCAGCATCAGCATCAGCATCATTACCATCAGCAGCAGCATCAGCATCAGCATCAGCATCAGCATCAGCATCAGCATCAGCATCAGCATCAGCATCAGCATCAGCATCAGCATCATCATCATCATCATCATCATCATCATCATCATCATCATCATCATCATCAGCATCATCATCATCTTCTTCATCCCTCTTCGCGAGCAGCAGCGGCCGGAGCGGGCAGCGAACACCGGAGGCCCACGGGCGGCACCAGCGTGAGCACTTTGCCCCCGCCGCCGCCGCTGGCCGCGTCGCCCGGCGCCGCAAGGGCGTCGTAGGCCGGCGGCGGGGGGCCAGACTGGGCGGCAGCCTGTCGGGGGGGGGGCTGGGGTGCACGGTTTCCCCCGGGGCCGTAGGCGACCCGAGGAGGAGGAGGAGGAGGAGGAGGAGGAGGAGGAGGAGAGGAGGTGGAGGGGGGAGGAGAGGAGGAGGAGGAGAGGGGAGGAGGAGGAGGAGGAGGAGGGGGAGGAGGAGGGGGAGATGGAGGAGGAAGAGGAGGAGGAGAAGGGAGGAGGAGGAGAAGGAGGAGGAGGAGGAGGCGGAGGAGGAAGGAGGAGGAGGAGGAGAAGGGAGGAGGAGGAGGAGGAGGAGGAGGAGGAGGAGGGAGGAGGAGGAGGAGGAGGCAGGAGGACGGGTCGCCCTAAGCCCTTCGGAGAAAACCCCCAGGCAGGGGAATGGCGGTGGGAGAGAGGTGGAAGCGGATGTGGAAACGGTGAGTTCGCTAAGCGAAAGGATTAATCAAGGAGGGGTGCGTCCTCTGGCGCGTTGCTCCGACAATGAGGCCCTCTGGCCAGAAACCACCCCCAATCCTGCTCAAATATATATATATATATATATATATATATATATATATATATATATACTCGGGGTCGGGAGAGAGGTGCGGGTGGGACTTGGAGGGACACCCACTGGCGCTGCGTGCTTCTTCTGCTGGAAGTGCAGGTCCCGCCCGAGCAATCAGTGTACAGATGTGGTGGTGGCTCGTCGCCGATACGCACACTGAGATCCTTCACTTCAGTTCAGCGATATGGCCCTTGAGCGTCTCCGTGGCGATCGGGGAGGCGAAGACTACTGCACTGATGAATTTCGGTGTCCTGGCATAGCGGAATCCATCAGTTCATTAATCCTCGCCTCCCCAGTCCCCATGGAGACGCTCAGCGGCCAGATCGCTGAGTCAGGGGCAAGGCCGAGCAGAGGATGCGACCTTGCCCGCCCCTGCCGCCCTCCCCACGGCAGGGAGGAGGGGCACAGGGGGGGGGGAGGGGCTGGAGATTGTCTCCTCCTCCTCCTCCTCCTCCTCCTTCCCTTTGTCATGATTTCAGGTAACGGTCGCTACCCCAAGGGGGGGGGGGGGGGCGAAAGGCTTGAGGCCCCGGGGAAGGGTAGCGCGTGGGTGGAGTGGGGCACGTCCAGGGCGGGGGCGCGCCGCGATTGCCGTGGTGCGCGCGCGAGCGCCGGCGTGGGGGGAGCGTCCGGGCCGCCCTCGGCCGGGTGGCAGTGGAGGGGTGGCCCGAACGAGGGGTGAAGAGAAGGGCCCCGAGAGGGGCCCTTTTCTGGGCGCCCACTGGCTCCAAAGTGGCCCTGAAGGGCCCCTCTTGGGGCCCTCGTCTTCACCCCCCGATGTGGGCCACCCCCCAATTACCACCCGCCCGACACCCCCCCCTGCGTACGATCGCTGTCGTTACCCCAGGATGATGGGGGGTTGGCCCGTAGAGTGGCCGTAACGCGCCAGTGGATAAAGAACAATCTCCTGGCGACTGCGTCCCCCCAGGATTTGGCAGCGGCCCTGTGCTCGCATTCGTGCACGCGCGCCGTCGCGACGGCACCTCCTCCTTTACCTGAGCATCTGTGCCTATGGGCGGCCTTCTGCGACAGTGTCTGCGGTCATGAGCAGCTCCCGCTCGACAAGCAGGCAACGTCTCGCCAGAGGCCTCGTGCGCGCGTGCCTCCGCCAGGGTGTTCCGTTCTGAGCGGCTGAGCGGCTGCCGCGGCCCATCGACGAGGTGCGCCTCCGCTCGGCTCCTGTGCTCGCCAAGCCTCTTGTTGCAAGCGTTCCTGGTGTCCGCCTGCGCGCACACGTCGGCGTCGCAACAAAACGCCCCCGAATGCTCTCGGAGGAACTGCTGGACGGACATCCACTGCGGAGGAGGACAGAAAACGCGAGGGAAGGAGGAGTAGAGAGGCGACCTAGGTACGCTCGCGCCGCATCTGACAGCACCCCTTCCCATTGAGCAAAATCAGTCGGCACCAAATCGGAAATCTCATGGAATTGGAATGTGCGCCAGATCGGTCTGCATCGGCACGGAGTCGAAATCGATCGAGTCAGATCGACCGCGCAAGACGCCGAGCAAGCAGCAGGCCGCATCGGATCGTCAGAATATCGGCATGGGATCGCATCGAGCCAGCCGGGAAACAGAATCGACATTGACTCCTCATCCGTCGTCGCCGCAGCCCCCCTCGGGGACGACGACGACGACGACGACGACGACGACGACAACAACAACAACAACAAGCTCAACAAACACAACAACAACAACAACAACAACAACAACAAACAAGGACCACAATAACAACAATCACAACGACAACAACAACCACAACAACAAACACAACAACAGCAACAACCCACAACAACAACAACAGCAACAACAACAGCAACAACAACAACAACAACAACAACAACAACAACAACTACACCAGCAACAGCAACAACAACGACTACGACAACGACAACGACAACGACAACCACAACAACACCACTAAAACTGTTCGCTCTTATCTGCTCGCGTGCCAATCCACACAAATATCCGAAACCCTCGGTACCCGCCCTCTTCGTCTTCGATCGTACCCCCTTTTGGGTATATCCCCCTTACCTGCCACGTGTATGTAGTGCAGCCCCTACAACAAAGGAAGAGAGGACGGATGGAAGGGGCGAAGGATGGAGCAAGAGAATTAAAAGCAGAAAAGGGGGCTAAGAGCAGAAAACCCGTGGTAAAACCAGACGGGCAGATCGGGCGGGTAGACCCTAACGGGCGGGTCGGGAACGCGGGCCCAGGCGACCAGGTCGAGCAGGCGGGTTGCTGAAGCGTGGGTCCTACATGAATCGCAAGGAATTCTCGAGCGACAGCGCGATTCCCAAGTAAATCGTTTGAAAAGTCAAAGCGGGAGCGTAATTCCTGAGTGCCGAAGGCGCGACGTCTGCATCCATTGCGAGGAAGTACCAAGAGAGAGCGCGGTTTCTGCATAGATTGTGAAGAAAGTCCCGCGCGAAAGCGCGATTTTGGAAAGGATTGCGAGGACATATCAGATAGGAGCCGTCGTTGTTGGTGTAGCCAGGGGGGCAACAGCGCAGTTTGAGCAGAAGATGTTCCACGATAGAACAAAACAGGGCGCAAGCCCCGAAACGGGCATTTCAATTGAAAAACAGCATGTGCACCAGCGGGTGGGGATCATAACGAATCACTATGACTGATTTGCGTCCTGCATGAATCGCAAAGGAAATCCACAGCGACAGCGCAATTGCCAAATGATTCGCAGGGCAATCCACAGCATCAGCGTAATTCCTGAACCCCGGGAGAAGCACATTAATTGAAACATATAACGGTTACCTCGCACAGGGCCAATAATAGTTATTAAATGAGATCTCAACAACAATAGCAGCAACAAAAAAAATCATTCTAAGACTGTTAGCTCGTATTTGCCCGTGTGTTTTTCAAAACGATTTCCCACACCCTCGATACCTGCCCTTTTCGTCTTCGATCACCCTCTTTGGGGGGAACAGTTTGTCTTTGCGGGGGGCGGCGGGCTTAGCCAGGCGGGCAAACCTGAACGGGCGGACAATCCTTCGTGGGCGTGCATGTGCCCGCCACTGGCGTGGGCCTTGCAAAAAAAAAATTGGAATAACGAGGGAGAATGGGAGGAAGGGAGGGGGAGGGACGAAGGAAGAGGGAAAACGCCAGGAGAGAAGGAGCGAAGAAGGGGGCGAGGTTGATTAGAGGCAGAGAGGGAGGGAATACAAAAACAAAAAACAGGTAAGAGGTGTATAGAAAGAAAGAGGAGAGAGAGAAATAGAAAGAGCGACGGAGGAGGCAGGAGAAGGGAGGGAGAAGGGAGGAGGGAGAGGAGGGAGAGGGGATAGGGAAGAGAGGCATAAGGATGAGGGAAGGGAGGAAGGAGAGAGAAGGGAGGAGAGAAGGGAGGAGGGAGGAGGGGCAGGAAGGTAAGAGCGTGAACGTTCGAGGAAGTCCTAGGCGAAAGCACCGTTCCTGAAGGAAGTCTCGGGCGGGAGCCCACGACGGGCGGGCGAACCCCTGACGGGCGGGCCAGGCGGGTGGGACATGCAAGCGGGATGCCTGGGTAAGGCGAGAGCGCGATTACTTAGTAAATTGTAACGGCGTCCTTGGCGCAGCGTGTCTCCTGAGCGTCGAAAGCGCGATTTCCCAATAAAAAACATGGAAATCACAAGCGAGAGCGCAAGTCGTGAATAAAATGTGTGAAGGGCTCTCTGGCGGGAGGGGGGGTCTTGATTAAATTGCAAAGAAGTCTTGACTCAATTGCGAGGAAGTCTCAAGCGGGAGCACCGTTCCTGAGTAAATGATGAAGAAATCCCGGATGGAAGCGGAATCCTGACTAAATTGCGAGGAAGTCACAGGCCGGAGCACCGATCCTAAGTAAATTTCTAGGAAAGACATCTCAGGAGCGAAGGTCGTGAGTAAAGTTGGAGGAAGTCTCAAGCGGGAGCCGTTGTTGTTGTAATCTGGTGGGCAAGGGGCTCAGTTTCAGGACGAAGACTCTCCCTGTCCAAAAACAGGGTGCGAGCGTCGAGGGGCACACTTTGAGTGAGTAAAAACAGCATGCACCGGTGAGGGGGATCAACAATAATTATTTTTCAGAAATGAGAGTTCAACAACATCAACAACATCATCATCATCATCATCAACAACTACAACAACGAAAACGACAACGACAACGACAATGACAACGACAACGACAACAACAACAACAACAATTACTAGCACGTGGGGACACTCCGTTCTCACCAGTGCCAGGGTTTTCATAGGAGGCGGGCAATACCCCCACTTTGTGGGGGGGCCGGTTCAAGCTCTACCAAATTTCCAAACGACTCTTCGCCACCACCCACACCCAGCTTCCCGCCCTATGACGTTCGGACACTTCACTTCGTGGCATGCGGACGACCGTGGCTACTATTCAGGGCCCCGCGGCCGACGACGACGGCGTGCGCGCGCGAAGAAAAAACGAATGTGTCCCGCATGGTATTATTTGACAGGGATGATGGCCCTGGCAGGTGCG